TATTATGCAAATAAATTTTAATGTTTTGTAATAATAATAATGGTAATATATTGGCATATGCAAAGAATAAAAAAGTTGAGGTCATAAAAGATGTGTTACTTAGTGAGTAGAAAACATTAGTATTATATGATACAGACTACTTTTTTGATACATGACAATTCAGGTTGAACATCCTGTAACTGAGATGATCACAGGTCTGGATCTAGTTCAATGGCAGTTGAAGGTTGCTGCAGGTGAAAATCTTCCTTTGATGCAAGAAGATATTAAACTTCAAGGACATTCATTTGAAGCAAGACTTTATGCCGAAGACCCTGAAAGGTGCACTTTATAAAACATCACACAGTATTTTGTGAAAAAAAAGTATAAATATTTTTGCATATTTAGAGARTTTCTTCCTGGAGCTGGTCCTATCCAACACATGACCACACCACAGGCAGCCAAAAATATCAGAATAGAAACTGGTGTTAGGCAAGGTATTTGTAATTGTTTTAAAATGACAAAATTTTGCCTTGCCTGTTCCAAATCATATTCTTTACAGGTGCTAATGACCATGATCAAATTAAGTAAGGGTGATGATATTTTGTTCTTTATCCAGGAGATGAAGTGTCTATTTATTACGATCCAATGATTGCAAAGCTTGTTGTTTGGTCAGAAAGCAGGTCATCAGCTCTTCACTTACTCAAGGACTGTTTGACTCAGTATCATGTATGTTGTACACATATTGCACAGTAAATAACCTTTTTAAATCTATAAAATTCCTSTACAATTTCGTATTTTATTTATAAAATTTTATATTGTATCTAGAGCTGTTTGTTTTCTTTTTACTTGGTTATGCAATATTGTTTTTATAAATGCATTTTTGTTTTGTATCTAGCTTGTAGGTTTCAATACAAACATTGGTTTTCTAACCAGTTTATGTGATAACAAATTTTTCAAAGCTGGAGATGTGCACACCGATTTTATCCAGGTAATGATTATCGTCTGAGAAAGACATACATCCATGATTATATAATTTGCATGATTCYTTTTTAGCAACATCATTCTGCGTTGTTTCCTGGAAAGCAAATACTATCAAAGGAAGTGTTGGTTCAGGCAGCTCTAAGTTTGATATTAATGGAAAGTGAACACCAAGAAAGCAGGAGGTCATCTKCCCAGGGTAAGTAGTGCTGTTTCTGATGTATTTGTGAGTGTTRTTGTAAGTTAACTGTATTTTGTTCAGATGAGTATAGTTTGTGGGGATGCACCTCAGGATTCAGGATTAACCGTCAACACAAGAGAAAAATTAGACTAAATGATGGAGAAAAGAGTAAGTGATTTCTTTATCAGTGTCAAAACATTAATAATTGCCAGAGATTATATTGCATTATAATGTTTTAGGAAAAGATATGACAGTCAGTTACAATATTGATGGTTCTTTCACTATGGAGGTAATTAAACCAAATATTAAATTTACAAAGCCATTGACTTTTATTTAGCATTGTCTTTCACTCTGTAAAGGTTGAAGGGGAASTATTTACTGCCWCAGGAAGACTGCATAGGGAAGGGAAGAGGACAAATTTGACAGCTACTGTGAATGGAAAAGTACTAAAATCATCTATTGTTGATCAAGATGGAACTCTTCATGTTTTTACCAAGGTAAAGGAAAAAGGGCAAATAAAAAATATGGAAGTGTTCAATGAGTTCAAGTAATGAATTTTTCTTGCCATACTCTTAGGATGGCCACCACAAACTTGCAAGACCTGTCCCAAAGTACCTAAAGGGTACTGTCAGTAGTGGTGGTAGTGGAGGGGCTAAAGCACCAATGCCTGGTAACATAGTTAAGGTAACATTTTAGATCAAACTTWAAAATTAGTACATTGATTTACAAGTTCAACATACAAGATACAGTTTAAAAAATACTGTACCGAGAACATGGTTACAGTCATCCCAYTTGTTTAGTGTAAAATGTTACTGTGATTGGGTTGTTTTCTTCCTTTAGATTCTTGTTCAGCCTGGTCAAGATGTACAGGAGGGTGATGTACTTGTTGTCATGGAAGCCATGAAAATGGAGGTACAGTAAATATTATTTACCAGTTATCAAAAAAGAAAACAGAATATTAACCATAAAATTACCTTTTAATTTCATAGTATTCAATCAAGGCTCCTAAGGCAGGAACGATCAAGAGCATTCTCTGTGAATTAAATGGGACAGTTGAACGAAATGCTCAACTTGTACAATTTGAAGAAAAACAGGCAGATGAAGAAGTAGAGGATGTGGATTGATAAGTGAATTATTTATGCATAATTATCGTTAAAATGAATTAAATTATCACTCATTTCATCTTTGAGTTGTTTATATTCCTAGAACTACAAAAGCAATAACCATTTATTCTTTTTCACTAAAACTTGGATGACGATGTTTCAATTGAAACTACCTGTCTTCCCTGGGTAACTGATCACTTTTGAAAGTCATGCAATATTTTACTATGGTATACAATGAAATTGTGGCTTACATACAAGTGAAAGAATAACAGTTATTGAACAATAGCTAAAAGACAATAGAGAGTAAAATGTGAGCAAAAAGCAAACAGCAAATGTACATTGTTGTCATCTGTGACTTTATTAAATCAAATAAATCACTTTAGATACACAAAATAAATGTAATTTACAGTGAGATAATTAGTGTTTTTGTTTGTTTTTCTCTTTGTTTTTTGTTACTTTTTTTGTTTGTATGTTTCATGATTTGCATTTCAAACTAAGACAGAACATGGAAGTTAGTTCTGTAGATCACTCCCCATGTATACTGTCATCATGGTCTGGTAGGTGTCCCATGGTATAATCGTATACACATATATCACATCTTCAACAGTACAGAATTATCAATTAGCAATATGACTCAAAAATAGTGACAGCTTTGAATAAAATAACCTATTAAAATATCTGAATAAGTGCTAGTTTGCTGCATGACATGCCATCAAAAATGTCACAAAACTTTTACTAAAATGGTTAATAATTATTACTCCATATCAATCTGCACGCATGCATAGTTAAAATAACTTTGATGGTAGTAAGTAAAAGATTTACGATGGTCAAATTTGTCAAATGGCTAAGATATTTTAAAATGATTAGCATAAAAATCAAATCTGACATTTAATTGAGTAGGATGCTGAAAATCATTTTAAAAACCATTCTCAAGTATAGACTTGTACTATTGTATTGGTAAAACACGACAGTAAATGAAGTCTTAATTGAAAATAGGTTATTAAAATGTTAAAAAGGAGAAAACAGCCCATCACTTTTTCTTAACACTGACACTTGCTATTCAGACTATATTACAACTATTTTTTTGCCATCTTGATTTATTCTGCTTCACCATTTGCCTTTGATTGTGTACTCTTGTCCTGTGATGTACCTTCTGAAGTTGCTTCAGATTTTTCTTCAACAACCTGTTTTTTTGTGGTGTTTTGTTCTTTTGTGTCTGATCCATTTTGCTTTTGCGTCTCCACCTCAGTTGAGTTCTCCTTGCTATCACTTTTCTGTCCTCCATGCTTGTTGTCAAGTAGTTTTTCAGTATCATCACTTTTTCTTCTGTTGTTGTCTGACTTTCTCCAATTCTGCCCCAGGCTTCCAGCATTGGGTCTTAGTTGAGTTTGATTGTTGCCACTGTTAGCACGAGAACGGTTTAATGGTTGACGTGATTGTGATTTCCCTTGGTTCCAGTTCTTGTTATCTGACCGTGTGCCTCTGCCATTATGTGTTCTGCCATCATTTTTGTCATCCTTTCCCTCACTACTGGAGYGTTTTGATTGGCCCATAAACCACGGTGAGGGCTTCTTTCCATGTGAACTCTTTGAAAAGCCTTTAATGAGATAAGAGATTTTTTTGTCCTTTCAAATAAATTTTTGGAAGGTCAACACTGAATATTAAAAGGACAAAAACTGTATAATTAACAGTTCTTTTCTTTGAATGTATTTTTTTTTGAATCAGGATTTGATTTTTTGTCAACTAAGCAGTCATGGCCTGTCGTTTTGCAGATTTGTCCTTTGACCTGCCATTGTTTTGAGTCCTAAAATACTACAAGAAATTGAAGCTTACATACCATTATGGCTGTCATGGCTGTGCTCTTCCATTTCCTCTTGGATGTCTTTCAACTCAGATGTTGGGGTATTGGATCTTTTGCTTGAGTTCTATTGTGGAAATTCAAATATATGTCCAAGTTATTCTTAATGCACTATTTTGCAAAGATTAACAGCATTTCAAGATATAAGGTCAATTACTAACCTTCTGTCCCCCATCAGAGTTTCCTTCACTTTCACTACTTGACCGTATCCTGACTGTTGTGTTGATGCGTCCCTTTTGACCAGGATTAGTGCTTATTGAAAGTGCTTCATTTAAATCACCGCCATAACTCTCTGTTGTCAGGGATCTATCTCTACCACCGCTGTTTGTTGAGTCTTGTGAAGCAATCATTAGGTTTGTACCACTGCGCATTTCAGCAGGAGTGGGGATGTATGATGGCCCTGTAGGTGGACTGATGCCCATGTTCTGTAACTGCTGATCTAACACCTCTTTCTCTCTTTTCATGTTCTCTATTTCCTGCAAGAGATGTGTTGCTTTTAGCTAATATTTGTGTTTTTAGCTGACAGTACAAACAGATTTACCTTTAGGTGTGAAAGGTGGTAATCTAGCATTATTCGACAGTTCACAATACACTCCTTTGTACCAACAAAGAGAAATGACACTTCTTTCTGAAATAAAATAAAAGCTGTTGTTAATTTTCAAGTTCTTGTTTTAGGGTAAGGGCAGTTGGAATAAACCTTTGCAGATTTTTCTTCTTCAGTTTCATTTTCTGTTGGAGGTTCAATCTTCACTCTGGTAACWCCAGATCTATCAACCATGTCTTGTATGATGCGCCCATTTTTACCAATCACTTTGCCTAAATCATAATAAAACTATTAGTCAATGGGTGATATAGACGATATTACATGGGCATGCAGAAATATTTATTTTATCTTTGAGTATTGAAAATAGTCTTCAGCTAGTAATGTATTAGATGATTATTACTTGTTGGGGTATAAAACATAMGTTGTAAATTATAAAACAACAAGAATGAATTAAATATCAGTGTTGCATAATCTTTGTACACAAGGCCAATTGYATGACCTAATAGATGAGCCTGATTGGACTACTAAAATTGTTGTACTAATTGGCTTATTTGCTAGATGCTTACCTACAAGGGGTTTTGGGACATAAACAGTTTCCTCAGCAAACTCAAGTAGACGCCTTGCTTCRTTGATGACGGTCTCATTCTATCAGTTAGAAAAGGGAAGTGTCAATATTAGTKTCAATTTTGTAACCAACTTGTATATGAGTGAAAATTATCATACACAAGCTTGGTCTTAGTTTTTCTAAGTATATTATTTTGTACCTCTCCACAGATGTAAAATGTACAATTGTCTTCATCTACTTCAATTGACAGGATTCCATGTAGTTTTCTTGCTTGTTGAATATTTACTCCTTGAGCACCAATAGCTAATCCCATGAGATGTTCAGGTAACTTGAGTTTATCACAAATTCCCATCTGTTTCTTTGCCACCTTAAAAATAGATTTTGTATAATGGCTTTGCATTTGACTGGACAAAAATACATAGTACAAAACAAACCTGCTACAAGACACAAAGATTGAGATTTAAAGATATATTGAACATAATTGAGACAATCCAAGTCTAAAGTGGTATGGAAAATATAATCATAAAWCCTTCTGGATAACTACCTCCAGTTGTCTGGCAGTTTCATCTGTCCAACACTGAAGGAGCATTTTTGTTCGTAAGCTTCTAAAATGCATCTCACTTAACATGGCTGCTCTCTTTACAGGAAGTTCATATCTTGACTAAAAAAAATTGTAAGAAATAAAACAACAAATTGACAAAATAAAATATCAGGGTCAGGTTCACATGTATGCCAGGTTGGAAATTAGTGCACAAATGGTTGTGTACCATAAAAAATAGCAACAGACCATTTTTTGATCATTTTCTCATGCTGAGACTGGGAGATMCGATYCAAAATTTTGAGACTTGCAGATAATCTAAGAGCGTTGACAGCCTTGCATAAGAYTATATACCTAATAGGAAGAACTTTGTCATGGGGAAATGAAAATATGAAATTCATAAAATAAAAAGAAATGAATTATAAAACAAAGAAAAATTACTCAAGTTTAACTTGTGTTTTGGGTTTTTTGATCATTGTGCTTTTTGTATTTTTCTATATACAAGATGATATTTTTTCTAATGGGGGGAATGAATAYCAAGATCTTACCAAGACTACAAGAACATTCATGTTGTCATTGTATCCAACACAGGCTGCATTGCACTGCCTTTTAAATTCTCTATGATGACTGTCATCTTTACATCTTTTGAAAATAAATCAAGCACATAAAAAAACATAACTAATGAATACAATCATGTACATCGTATGTCATGTCTTACATTTCACATTTGCATAAATTAGTTGCGTGCATGCGTATGAGTTAGGCTTGAAGCACATGGTATCTCATTTACATTGCACTAGATCCGACTTTGTTTACATTTTTGTGGGACAACATGGCTGCCATTACAAGTCCTCTATTCTGATTGGCCAATCCCGTGYGTGCGAATGGCGCATTTGATTTGTCAGAACTCTGTATACTTACATTGCTCTGAGATCTGGAGGAACATCAATCATTACTTTGTAGTACATACTTCTATAAATTGGTCCACTGAAAATAAACACATTACAGATTGTGTAGATCCCCAATGCCTGTTTTAAAGTGTTTAATAAAAAAGATGTTCATATTTGATTCTTACTTGCAACTGGAGGGCCTAATGCGTTCTCTTGGGACAATTTCATTGAAGGTTGCATCCCATCCATTGTACTGAACTACATAAAACTACAAAACAAAAAATCAGAATCTCAGCTGAAAAAGAGATTTAATTGACAGACACTGGTGCTATGACCCATATATCATAACAGCAATTCCACTATAGTCTTTCTGACTAAAAGATGTTTGTGGAAATCCTCTAAGATGTCTCCTGAAGCCAATCACAAAAGAAAGATTATATCACTCTAAAAATACCTCTCCCTTCTTATGGACTATCCTTCCTGGCCACCAACCACAAGGTTCGTCATCATTTGCTCTTGAAAATATCTAAATAAACAACGAAGGTTTAAAATAATGATATACATTTTATTCAATAATTATTCATGTCMAAAAATTGTTCTCTATTTTCTTTAGATTTCATACATCAATACAGGGTTCATTCATGCTTTCAGCCAAATAAACACAAAGATGCAAAAATGTTTGGTATTTTAGATGTAAGCTTACTAAAAAACCTTGTRTTGAGTAAAATATTCCAGAAGAGTAGCGAAGTCATGTGCTCTTATTACTGTACATTGCACAATAATTAACAGATTCATTTCAAAAGACATTGTGAACTCAACTGGAATTTATAAAAAAAAACAACAAAAATATCAAAGCTGAGGTCTACTTTGARCCAGAAAATAGAACTTCTGTTAGAAAAGCGGCCTTCAATTGAACCCACGTGAGGCGAAGACATAAACACTGTGGTTTCCCGCGAATTGCACAATAACAAACAAACACTTGCCACATAAAGGTCTAAACTACTGTAATAGTACATCAGATAATATTTTTCAATGATTCTGTCGAAATTATAGATATATTGATAAGTTTCTACGGCAAAACAAGTGGAAATTTAATCAGACTATTGCGCAATTCGTATTTTTGTCTTTGCAGCGTACGCCAACAACGTTGACCTTATTACCTCCACTTCATCATCCACGTAGAGATCTTTTCGTTGAGTTGAGSAAGGTGGAAGTCGAACCTCCTCATATGGAACYCTTTTGGGGTTATTCAAGCTAAACACATAAAAGAATATTGTACATATTTATTCTTTTTATCTATCAGTTTTGATCAAGCTCATGACAAGAATTGTCACCATGCGCGCACCATTCTCAGCAAACTTACTCATTTTCAAGGGCGACACTGACTTGATCCTGATGGATATTCCGTACATAGCCCTTAAAACACACAAAAATATGAATACAAAGAAGTAATACATTTAAMAAAAGTTTTATCAGAGAAATCACCTTATAGTAAGCGCCGTTTTTGCCACAAACTTCGACAGCAAGTTCCTCCATGTTCCCTGTTGCCCAACATCCAACGATCGCAAGGCATGACGGGATATCAACAAACTCGTGTTTTGAAAACGGAAGTGAATTGAAAGTTTCCGGTGAATTATACGATTATGTTTTTAAAAAATAATTCAGTGTTTTCTGCCCTTTTTATAAGAATGCAAAAGATCTAATCTTTTCTATAATCGTTATTTCAAATTATCTGAAAAAATCCGCAAGATTCTAAATAAAAACTAAGTTCTAAGTCCTTAAGCTTGCATTTTTCATGAACGGGATACATTGTTGAAAACAAATTGAACGCAATATCTCCAATTCAAGAACTTTTAGAGAATTCGATGTTTTCTAGAAAATTTTAACCTGACGTCATAACCCATCCTTTTTAGGTCAACCGCATAGCKATGTGCGTGCAGGCTCAGTAGCCTAGTTCTCATGCCTTTCTACTGCTGTCAAACGTTGCTGGTGGCCGATAGAGACAGTGAAAATATGAACTTTTATAAAAATTCTAACCGTCAAATAGTTCACCATAATGGATTTAGACGTCGTATTATATCAAAGGAAATGGCATTTTACTGTTTCGACTTGCTAGCTAGCCATTTATATCGTTTGAAAGAGCCTCCTCGGCCACAGTTCACTAATGATGCTTTGTGAGTATTCCCTAAAATTGTTATTGATGTTATGGTCTGTTATTTTTCGTACATCATGCCGTTGAATAGCTAAAAGAGCTGAATCTATTCTTTTAAAGGCAARTGTAGTTATTCTAGTTTTCTTAGCTACATCTTACATGCAAAGGCCAAGTATTTCGTGTTATTATTGCGTTGTACATTGGATACAGATGGCCGATTCTAAAAAATTCCCCTGTCTGCTTTCTTACAGAACAARCGCTTTTTCCTTGTTATTTTGTGSCTTCGATCAAAACTATCGTGTTTAAAGTCCTTGAAGCAGCTTGTTTTGGTCTTTTGTAGCTTTTTTTGTAGCTTTTGCAATTTAATCTGTCTTTAAATGTTGTATTTGTATTGTGTTGCTAAACATTGCATGACAGAGTTCTATGAAAGACTTGGCTTTCGATATTGTGTGACATATATAAAACCGCTATTCCTAAAGCACACGTCTTTTGAAAAATTGTATTTGTCTTGATCAATGATTTTAACCAAGCTATTTTGGACTCTCTCTTCAAAGCTAAATTTATTTTCCTTTGTGTTTTTCGTGTTGAATTAGCAACTTTGAATACCAAATTAAATTTTCTTTATTTTCATTTCAGCCTAGTGGCCACAACACTGTTTTTTGTCAAGAATTACAGTGATTTTACTGCATGTGTATATCCATTTTTAAAATTTMTTCATTTGCTACAGATAATAATCTCTATATCTTTTCAATTCAATAATCCTCTACTTACAGAGAGAATTGTAGAAAATAGGAAGGAMGTATATTTTGCAATGACTATTGGATGTTTCTAAATTTATGATTCATATTCTCTCTTTGAATGTGGACTTTGAGGTGTATTTCTGGCAATGAATCATGTTTAATRCCTCCTGGTGTCTATTGAAGATGATTTAAAGGCAACTTTAATTATCATCTTCATTCTTTCTTTTGTTTTTCATTATTTCTTACCTTCATTCCTGCTTTCCCCTTTATTAACCCCCCACATAAATATGCTCTTCCTGAAAAAGCTATATATATATATATACATTATGTGTGATCATAAGGAAAATTCATGTTTTGATCATGGAATTGCAGTTRAAACCGTTCTTCTTGATTGTCAWATGAGTTTGAATTTGTCATYTACTAAGTCTAGTCAAACAACAATGAAACMCAKCAATAAAAAAAGACACATACGATGCAATGTTTTTAAGTGCCAAAAAGGTTGCATGATTCTTCAGGTCTTCAGGGTTTCAACTATTATATGTTTCATGTATCTCTGAGTCAATTGGTCAGTGGTTTCTTTATAACCTAGATACTCAATATACAGTGGTTGTTATGCACATTGTTTTGCTGWTTTTTAATTCTAAGGTTGAAAACAAACTTGTTGTWGAATTTTGATTGAGGATTTTAATTGTTTTGACCTATTTTGTACCAACAATAAATCATCTTCTAAAGTATGTAGTCAAATTATATTTTCTTTAATTTGTCTGGTGATTAAGAGAAAATTCAGAATAATATATTGAAAGCTGAAAGAATAGTATTTCTGAATGCTGAGTACTCTAACAGATAACAGAACTAGTTATTTAAACATTCTTTGGYACTGTAGATTTGTGTGATAATTGATGCAAGCTTTTTTAACATTACAAAAATACAAAATATCAACAAAAATAATAAGAAAACTGCCATTACGTTAAGTTCTGAAAGTCCCAAAATAATTTTTTTTTTCAACATGTTTTATTACAATCTCCTCTTCCTTCTATTCCATGAGCAGATTCTTAAATGATAATGATAGTAAAGGATCAGGAATAAATTTTGCCTATTATTGAAAGCATATCTGCTATATCAGTGTAGTTATTAGTGTTTAGAATTGTAATTTCTACTTTCATTTACAATAATTGTGGTATGTATGTATATTTCAGCCCGTTGTTTGTTACATGGAAGATTGGTCATGATCACCGACTTAGAGGTTGTATAGGAACATTTGCCACCATGCCACTTCATTCTGGTTTAAAAGAATACACATTATCTAGGTTTGTATGTTGTTCCTTGTAACTAGGGTGTAATTTGTTAACCATGGCAATATTCTCCATTTGAAATCTTTTCAAACATTTTTAACTTCCAATGATACGAATATTTAAATAAAGAAATTCATGATTGACATGTTTGCTAATAGTAACTTATACTTTGATTTCAGTGCTCTAAGGGATGGTCGATTTTCACCTGTTACTAAGGATGAGTTACCTAATTTGCATTGCTCTGTTTCTGTATTAACCAATTTTGAAGAAGGAGTCAATTATTTAGACTGGGAAGTAAGTTACTAGTTTGTATTTTATACCATTGTCTATTTTAGTTTGATTGAAAAYTTTTGAATTATCATCTTTTCATTAGACTGGTGTTCATGGTCTTAGAATTGAATTTATAAATGAAAAAGGTCATAAAAGAACAGCAACCTATCTACCAGAAGTTGCAAAGGAGCAAGGTTGGCTATGAACTTGTTTAGCTTGTTTGATTAAAGAACAGTCCTAGATCGGTTTGATGTAGGACTGCTGATCGAGTCCTAAAAAATACCATTTTCGCAGGAGCCTTATCCATTTTATATTCAAGCACGTTGATAAGAAAGCCATTTAAACAAATGCATGAAATTGTTTTCAGGTTGGACTCAAATTCAAACCATTGATTCTCTAATGAGAAAAGGAGGATATAAAGGTCCTATAAGCCCTGAAGTGCGGAATTCCATTAAAGTTACCCGTTATCAAAGTGAAAAAGTAACTGTTAGTTATAACGAATTCATGGCTGCTAAGCAGCGTGGAACTTCATGACACAAGTGTCTTTTTAGGAGTGAAGTCATGATGTTAAGGGAAAAAAAAACACAATGCATAGACTTATAAAGAATTGTTTTATTCAAATGGGATTAACCTTTGGTATATCCTGTGTTGCTCTACTGGCAGCTGTCAGGTTATATTCCTATGTAATGTTGTTTTTTACATTCTTTAATCATACTGTTTTATGTCTTAGGCCGGAGGCACTATAGTATTTAAGATATTGTTATTATTGCCATTTGTCTTGCTTTAACATTAAAATGAACACTAGGCTGAATACTAAGTGATATTTTTGAAATCATATGATGTATCTCAAGGTTTAGTTTCATATTACMAGCTTGTACCAAATCATATCCACCTAGCTTGTTCAAAGCCAAGAAAACATTTAAAAAATGACAACAATGACAATTGAATGGAAACTCATTTCTTGTGTGAATGCTACATGGAGACACTGTGAAATACGAAGCTCTATGTCAAAATTATACACTAAGATGCTCTAACATAATCAAGACATAAAGTTCTATTAGGTGGGGACATATGAAGCATGACTTGTCAAAGAATATCCAATCCATGAGTGCTTTTGTTTCTGTACATATGCCAAATTGTGTTTTTGATTCTTCAGAATTAGCGAATTTACATAACATGTTTATCTTATCGGATTACCCTTCATTCTCTGCTTAAACAATGAAGTAAATTACAATTTCAATGGAATTATGCTGTGATATAGTTAACTGCGGAAACTGGATGTTCCATAAAGCAAATACTTTSCAGAGAATGTAGTGAAGTTTTGAGAAAGATCAAGTTTCCAAAGGGCACTATCATAGCAAAATGACCAAGATTTCAAATTATGCTCAGTTGTTCTTATTGTTCAACAACAAAATTTTGCTCTGCAGTGGCACTATTGCATCAAAATGGTTGACTCTCCACCAATGAGAGCAGAGGAAAGTTTGTTGTTGAATTTTAAATGTATATATGTAATAACTGTTGTTCATTAATGAGATATGCCTTTCAGTCAGCTAGTGTTCATTTTAATATCAAATATTATAGAAATATTGTTCTGTACATATCGACTAAGATACTATGAAATTGTAATGAGCTGCAATATTCTTATCTTTAAATTGATACAATTATTATTATATTATTGTTAGGGTTTGGTTATAAGGAATTTCAATAAATATAAAACAAACAAAAACAAACAAAGCAGTTTACAGGTCTGGATTCAATACCTAGACTGGGTKATAGACAAGACACTTAACTGTCTCGTCCTCTTGAAGGTTCTAAAGCTAAGGCCATCTCTTCACACTTCACRTTAGCAAAAGTGCGAAATCCTCAATCATGGTGAAAAAATGAAATTGAAAGCTTCACTACACAGTGTAGGGAGGGGGTTCAAGGGGACAGGCAAGCACCTTCACAAAGATATTTACAAATTTAATAACATYTCTGCTGAGAAAATTATTGCATTGTTACACTTCAATTTTCCCCAACAACTTTCAACATTTTTGGAATTATAATATTTCTCWCTGACACCTTTGAGGAAAATGTGAAACATGGAATGTCTGTCATCAGATCATATTGGATGCTTCATGACTATCGGTGGGTTTGTAATAGGTCCTAATTAACTCCTGTGACAGCAGAAAAATGCTCAAGTACAACATAAGGAAATGTCTTATGAAGCCACCTTATAACACATTTTTTTCCTTTGTCAGGCCAAATGGGTGATAACTGCGATTCTAGACTTCACTTGTGCTCAGAGTAAAACTGACCCTGAACCTCTAACTGACCCCTAACCCTTGTGGCAATGTATTTGCAGAAAGTAGACCTGACTTTTACTTATAGTTTATTGGTAGAAACATTCTCACACTAATTCAAGGTATATACATATATAAGCAGAAAACTAAATTTTATCCCATTAACTRAAGTTAACTAAATGCTGGATTGTAAAAGGAAAACGATTTAAATGCAGACTTGATCTCAAAACCATTCATTTGTTTATTTTACCACTAATAAATATAATTTCCTCAGTCTTAAGGGGCACTCTMCTGAGGTGCAATGCAGTTAGTCATCTTGGACATCTTCAAGTTTACACTTCTTGATAGAGCTTACATAAAATCAATACTGTAATTGAATCAGTATAAAAAAGTTGATCATCACAACGAAAGGGTTCAGTTATCCCTTGAAAATGATCTATAACATTATTAATTTATCAATGAGATATATTAATTTTTCTTTTTATAAATAATGAAGTCACAAAATAATTATTAAAGAGGAACAGAAAGAGCTTATACAAACTTTGAGAAGCATGCAAGCATCAAATAATAATCATAATAATTATATTACAATCCATTAATCTGTCATTAGTGAGGTTTTCAAAAACCAGTGAAACAATACCAAAATTCTAATGTCAGTTTATACGTGGAAACAAGTGGACAATAAATAAATTTTGTTTTATTGGAGCTTGTTAGATAGCAGTCAAAAACATGGGAGTGCTTATCTGAGTTCATACAATTTTAAGCAATATTTTCATTGATGGAATGACAAGAATGAATAGTAATGGTCAAAGTCTATCAGCATCTTGGACCTCTATTTCATCAACCAAAGCTGGGCGATGTCCAAAATAGTTTCTCCTGTTTCTGTATACCAGAAAAGCTGCTACTCCAATAATCAGCACCAACACAACCACAATAATTACGCCAACAGCAACCTTGTTGCCATGGTTATCTGTTGATCATAACACATTTATAATAATAAATGCCTCYTATAAAATGTCTTCTGGTAGACTACAAATACTAAAAGGTTTCATAAATATCGCTGAATTATGCTAATTCTATTGTAWAGTGATGTGTAGCATTATGTAATTATATAAAATATGAGCAGGAGTTATTTATGTGTTTTTAAAACTGCAAGCTCCAAAAAGTCTGTAAAGATTGGAAGCAAATATTTATATAGCTTATCAAATTCCAACACAAGCTAAAGCATAAAAAATTCAATATTTTCACAATCAATYCACTCTGACACAACGTGCTGACAGGGCCCTTCTGAAGAGTGAACCAATTTAAAAAACTTATCAAAATCATATTTCATTGCACTACCTGATTTTTTCTTGCTGCAATACAGACTTGGGTACATGTATTGTGTATTGAAGACAAGATAATGCCCACCGTTCCTCTTGACTAAAAGATAAACCTAAAAAAGATGTAAGAGTTGAAKGAATAATATCTAGAATTATTTCACATGAAATGGATAAAATGAAAAATACTGTAAGTGAAATGATGATAAAAAAACTGGCAAATATGCTGTAAGACATAAAGTGGAATATGGATGGACAGCAAAATAGAAGTCTTGATATTTACACTTACTTCAAAATTTGTTTTTCCACCAGATTTTTTCACATGAGCCTCTAAGTAAACAGCTGTCCATCTTGAAGTCATTGCGACAGMTTTCCTCATTCTCAAACTCTTACCACCAACCAAAGAACGTGTAAGATTCACGAGAAACGATTGCTTGTCTTTAAACTCTTGTTTATCTGTCGGTACCCATGATTGTTTCATGTACTCACTGCGATAAACATCTACTACTACACTKGGGGAACCACATGGATCACGGAGTTTTGACGAGAAGCCAATCAAAAGAGGGTTTTGTACACCCATATAGCTTGAACACCAATGATTATCCCATTCATCCAATGTACAGTTGCCTATAATAATAGTCCATTAACATTATTGGATATCAAATATACAATATAAATTATTAAAGTTATTGTTCTATCAAACCAAATTTTCTGAGTTAAAGGATCGAGTTATAGTCCATATTATTAAGACTTTGATTAATGTTTCAAACTATTATTAYCATCCCTTTTTGCTACCTGATTATGGGTACTGCATTACATCAGCCTTACCTCGTTGACACACCCCCTCAACCTGGAAATACTGATCAATGACTTTACTTTTGTTGTTAACTTGAGACATTGGAAACTGGTACACCTAAATAAAGCAATAACACATTTCGCAGATACACTCTCACTTGAGTCCATCTGTGACTGTGTGCAACTGATTTCTTGTTCAATCACAAATATTGGATTATGACTGATGATCCTTTAGAAGTGAAACCAGCTAAGTATGAGGAGAAATGCAAAAAATTATTGCTGTTTTTTAGACAAACACAAACAATGACATTGTAAAATTRCTTGGATGTAAGCAGGAAAACAGTGCATATTCTTACTTGACCTAAGTAATGAACACATATTAACTTACAGTAACATGCAATTTGCCTGAATGGGGACCATCAGCATGAAAATGCATCTCCATACTTGCTCCATACCTGAGATTGGCTGAAACAACAAATGAATATAAACACAGAATTCAAGATTAGATGACTGWTTTATAACTGGTGGTGATAAAGGAGTGCACTACTAGCATCAACCAAAATTAGCAAATAGCACCAAACATAAAATTTCAGCTGAGAGTATACATGTAWTACTTACAAATGACAATTGGAGATGATACATCCTCACTAAAAATTCTCTCAATATTAAACCCTAAACCTGCAGCACTGATTTTAACAACAACAGCTACTGGTAAAGTGCATGGCTTCACTTCCACTTCATAGAATACATCATGATTCTCAATGGTTGTACGGCAATCTGCAGTTAGATTGGATTTCTTGCCACAGATAAATTTTTGATGGTCTGTTGAAGAAAGCCAATACAAGATAGTTAATGTAAAATTATTTTATAAATGTTGTCCATATTATCACAAGCTATTTCTAAAGGTTCCTGCTGAACTAGTATTAATACATGTATAGAGCACCTGCTTTGTGAATATTTAATTGATTATGACAGTCCAGAAAATACTTAGAAGTAAATATTCTTATTTTTAAATATCATACCAAAATTTCTCAGCACAGTTCTGTTGTTCAAAGGTTGGACAGGTCTAAAGTTATTCACAAGAGGTTCTGTGGATTGCTTTGCGCTTGAGACACTACGAAATGCTCTCAACTGTCTGGATGAAATAGACACTGTTTGATGAAATACAATCCACTCCACATCCTCACTGCAATTTGGTGTGGTAAATGAACCAGAATATCGGTAAAATGATTGAGTATTATTCGGTAGTATATGTTTGACMGARAATCCGATGACTTTAGTGGTCTCATCTTTTTTGGAGCAGTTTTGAAGGCTGTTGGTTAATTTGTCAAAGAAATGGTTGTCTTCAGTTCCTTCAGTGACAAGAACCGACATAATTGCAGCTGTAACATCTGAAGATTTGCTTACATCGTAATGARCTAAATGTACTTCCATTGGGTATTTTTTACCGTCAATTTGGTGCTCAGAACCTTCAGAGCTGTCTGCTCCAACATGGAAATGAAACTTGTCTAAAGTATAAACAGATTTTAAACCAGCGCCAGTGAAATTGAGCTTATCGTTATTGGAAAGCTTTGCAGTAATCGCTCTTCCATTGTTTGTAACACTAAGGTCTGCACTTGACGAATAATGGATGTGTAAATCACTGAATGATCCATCAAAGGGAGCCTTTTGTGGAATTATATTGATTGGAGACTGTCGTTTTCCGGCACATTTGGGATAAGTCTTGAACCATGTGCTTGGACCGTTAGGATCCTTATAGCTCCATGAACCACTGCAAAATAGCAGATTTTCTAGTGAATGACAAAATGCACAGATTGAAAGAATAATATTGATGGTGTTCATGATGTCTAAAGGACACAAAAKGTAATTCTCAGCGGTAGTCCATTTGCAGAAGAAAAAGGGAAAAACAACAGACCATTTTTCCTTCAGTAAAAGGACTGGGACTTATCGACTTGATAGTATAGAGGGAGACTGAATCGAGCCACATCAGAGCCATAGGCAACCCAAGCTTACCCAAGCTAGCTAAGCATTTGACTAGCAGATTTAGCGATTATCTATAATGAGTGTAAATATGAACTTTTTGGAATAAAAAACGCTGACTTGATTTTTTTTATTTAAAAAAATTCATAAGAATTCTTATTTTAATTTGTTTTCCGCATTCAAGYCTTCAAGCGGTTAGCGTCAAATACTTTTTTTCTGTAGTGAATGTGTATCGTTGTATACATGCTTACGACATAATAAAGCGGAAGTAGCTTAGGAAATGACAAATATTTTCATTGAATTTAACAAGAAGCAATAAAATTTTATTTGCGACCGACAAGACATTTTTCTTGAATTCAAGTGAATGGAATCTCCTGATATTTACCATCTTAACTCCTGCAAAGGCCCTTACACCTCGCTTCCATTCCTTTGTTTTCTATTGTTTTATATTCACTTGTAGCTTATATCTTGTAAAGCATCTACAAAGCAAATTCGTTTTCGGGTTCCCTGTGTTCACCACATTGAACTTTGTACTTTTGCTACAAGGGGACTTGGTTCTAGTTGATTTATGACGTCATTTCTCTTCATCGCACGCTTGAAAAGCAACGGAAGATAGAGTACATGAAAATACCTCTCTAAAAATAACACAAAAGCATCCCTATATTKTTGCTAGGATGTTAAGAGGAAGTATTGTAAGATTCCCTTGTCTGTCAAGAAGTGTAATTTACGCAGTRAGATCGCCTCAAAGGTGAGATAAATTGCGTGTTCTAGACCCGGTCTAGAGGACAGGAAAACATCTACAAACTCACGCTATTTGCATGCGTGTGATTCTCGGTTCTTTTGACTTTATCAGAGTTATAAAYCAAAAAATACTTGCTATATCAAGCAAATGAATGTTGACAATATGTATAGAAGTCAAGGAATGAAAGGCAAACATCGGCGTCTGATCCACGTCTGTAAGACCGTCATTTTCAATGCAACGTTCAATGGCATTCAATGTTTACAAAATGTTTCAATTATATTTTTGTCATCTTATAACACTGTGTTCATTTTGCGATCTTCATTGTACGCAAAATATACAAGTTTTTCCTCGTGAATTCTTGTAGTTTGTTTACATTTGAAGAACTGTTGTAGCACAGTATTGCATAACACAAGTATTATTCTTATTATGATCTTTTGTTAAAGCAGATTTTCTGTTATTCAACCATCATCTAAAATTCTACATCGACAGTATGCAACTGAAGCTAAGGTACTTAGAAGTATTGGGCCCAGTATGATGGACATTGAGTATTTAATATCAACAATCATGCATATACCATTTKTTTTAATTTCCAGGAAGAATCTAAATCATTTGCAATGGCTCTCTTCAAAGGCCAGTTTCAAGCAGAACAAGTTTTCCCATTTCCACAAGGTGATACTTTTTTCTCGCTAAATGCTATAATTAAATGTAGTATCTGTAGCTGAACTAGTCTGACACATGCATTAATAATAGTYTCCTTCATGATTCCCTGCACCATCTTGAGCTGTACCTTTGCATCAAAGCAAGATGACCATTGAGCATGAAGTGATTGAAAGTTTCTCATCAATAGACAATTATTCACAAGTGTTWATAATTGCATGCTCAACAGTTGTCATGCTTCAAAGGAATCTATAAAGGAGACTACTAAACAAGACTCTTTCTGATGYCTTATTTTATAGTCTTAAATGAAGATCAAGAAGAGACTTTAAAGGCTTTTGYGGATCCCATTCATAAATTCTTTGAGGTAGGGTTTGATGTGGCTTGTAACTTGAAAAACCTATCAATCAAATTATACTAAAATTATTTGATACAAACKTTTTACCCCTTGATAAAGACATTGCTTTCTAACTATGAACAGGAAGTCAATGATGCTGCAAAGAATGATGCTGATGAAAAAGTCAGTGATGAGGTCATGGAAGGCATGAAAGAAATGGGAGCATTTGGGCTACAGGTATGCTTCTTAAATGCCAGCTAGGCAGACAGTCCACCAACACTCCAACACTCTAGTTATTATTTTTATTGAGCTGCAAAGTGGCAAGATGTTTCCATTTGTTTTGTTTTTCTAAGACTGAAGAAAGAAAATTAAAGGAAAAGTCTTACTGGTTCACAGCTCATTAAAATATTAAGCACAGAATACATGCCATTCCTCTGGAACCAGGGTAGTCCACCAAGAGTTTTCTTTGTTTTGATATTTAGTTTCAATGTCAAATTAAAAGTTATCATAACCAGCATTAACTACCAGAATAAACAAATGCCCCAACATAATCAAGATACCAGAGAGCAAGTTAGATGAACACTGTTTTATAATGTTTTAACTTAACAGGTCCCAACAGATTTAGGAGGATTAGGTCTAACAAACACACAGGTAAAGATAGTAATTATTTACTGACATCTTAACAACTGTCTTTTTTGGGACTATCTTCTCTGTCTCTGTGAGCGGTTAATGAGCATAAAGGGATCCCACAAAGCCAAGTTGTCTTTTGTTTTAGTATGCAAGACTTGTTGAGATAGTTGGTTCCTTTGATCTTGCCATTGGTATTGTACTTGGTGCTCATCAATCTATTGGTTTTAAAGGAATTCTTTTATTTGGAAACAAGGTATTTTTAGCTTCCATAATGCCTTAATTTGAATGCATGATAAGAATATAAAGTGCTTCTTTCTTTWATTTGTTCAGGAACAAAAAGAAAAGTACCTTCCTCAGGTTAGTGATCTATTTCTTAGATTTATTGCTAGAAGTGTGTGTTATTTCATCCTCTAATCATATAAGTCTTACTTGCCTTGATTTGTCTTGTCTTGCCTTGCCTTCTTGTCTTGTCTTGTCTTACATACAGATGTACATTCATTTTTGTTATCAGTTTATACCATGTTGATTYATTGTAGCTTTATCTAGATATAATCTGTTCATTTTTATTGGTGCACATGTGTCTGACTATATGCTATAAAAAACCTACTTGGAAACATTGTATACCATCACATTCATTGATTCTTTATTTCCAGGTGGCAGGAGCAAGTAGATTTGCTGCATTTTGCCTGACAGAACCAGCAAGTGGCTCTGATGCAGCTGTAAGTATCCCCTCATGTGATGTTTTGTAAGTGACAAATTACTTCTACCCCCACAAACAGGTGTTCTGTAAATTTGAAAATTGCTWTTCATCTGAACATCTAAATGATGTTTAATTTTAGTCAATTAAGACAAGAGCAGAGCTGAGCAAAGATGGGAAACACTACATATTGAATGGTGGCAAAATATGGTATGGTTTTAGAATGATTGAATTTTTGAAAAGTTATTTGTTAACACCTAAATATTTAACATGTTAGGATAAGTAATGGAGGAATTGCTGACATATTTACTGTTTTTGCTAAGGTAAGTAAGCAGATTCACTTGTTGCACTTTATGAAATATTACTTGTGAACACTTAGAAGGATTCAGAAGAACTGACTCATAATTGGAATATTGTATGYAATTATATTTTTATGAGATCTTGATGATTTATAGTTGGTTGCAAGGGAGACYTGGGCATAGGGTTGCCCTGACCYACAATCCTTGGACCATTCCAGCGAATTTTCTCATTTTAAGCAACACCCACAGACAATTTCATCCCCCCTGACCCCCTTATCATTGATCATGTTACCATAGTACACAAGCATCCAAAATAAGACCCAACATTGATGAAAGGGGGCTAAGGGGGAAAACTGTGATAAAATAAAGGAGAAAAATGTTARGCTGGAGACAAATAATTGTACGGTACAAGGTATTTTGGCAACGTTTGTAGGTTATTTGTATTGATTACCCTCTAACCAKAATTTACCTTTCAAGCCGAAAGAGCTGAGAAGAAGTAAATTGCCAGTAACTTTTCTGCTTTGTTTGGCATAGACTCCATTAACGGATCCAAAGACAGGAGAAACAAAGGATAAAGTAACAGCTTTTATTGTTGAAAGACAGTTTGGTGGAGTGACCAGGTTAGTTATTTATAATACATTTCATTTAATTGTAGCTTGATAGTTTTATTTAATTTTCAAAACATTTTTATCACTTTTCAAGTGGACCACCAGAAAAGAAGATGGGAATTAAAGCATCCAATACTGCAGAGGTAATGACAATAATGATAATTATGGTTGTCAGGTGTGATGTAATTATGGTGATGATGATGCAGATTGATAGAGAAATTAAAATCATTGTTGATTAGTGGTGATAGTGTTAGAAAGATGATACTTGAAGCCTTGAAATAACACTCACTTAGTATTTTAGTGATGATAATGATAGTTATCAGGGGATTTGACAGCATTTACCTTCAGGACAGCGTTGTTCAAAGCCCGATTAGCACTAACCCTTAGTTAACTCTTAGAARAACTTATGTAGTTAACCCTGACCTCTTCTGACCTCTTTCAGGTTTATTTTGACAATGTCAAAGTTCCCATAGAAAATGTTTTAGGAGGTAATTATAGTTTGTTGCTTGTATAAGTTTTTTTTCAAAGTAAACATATAATTATATTGGTTTTTCATTTATTACATTTTYCCAGCCTATACGAGTTTTGTTTATTTGCAGGAGAAGGCAATGGGTTCAAGGTCGCGATGAATATTCTAAATAATGGACGCTTTGGCATGGCAGCAGCATTATCTGGTACAATGAAAGGACTCATCTCTAAAGCGGTATGCACTAAAGTCTGTACAAAAAAGTTCGCAAGTCTCGTTCCGAATCTCCGCTCTCGACCATTCTGCTTTGCGCTCAATATTCACCCATTCTTGGGAGTAAAAGAGAGTTCGACTTGGGCAAGTAAACRATTTTGCTGACCTCTAATATCTTGACCTGACTGTTTGTCCAGGTTGACCATGCTGCTAATAGAACCCAATTTGCCAGCAAGATCGAATCGTATGGAGTGATTCAGGAGAAGATTGCACGTATGGCGATCCGCCAATACGTTACAGAGGTAAATGGTTTGTTAGTCCGTCCGTCAATCAATCAGTCAGTAGGTGCTTCAGTATTCAATTCAATTGTCTCTATGTACATCTTYCAGTCTATGGCCTATATGATATGTGCGAATATGGACCAGGGTGCAACAGATTTTCAAATTGAAGCTGCAATCAGCAAAGTCTATGCATCAGTAAGTGGGACCGGGGTACTATGTTAGAGCTGAGCGGGTACCCTATAACGCTTATTGTTCATTGTGGTTTTAGGAAGCGGCTTGGTTTGTAGCAGACGAAACCATTCAAATCTTAGGCGGCATGGGATATATGAAGGTATAAATGTGTGTAGTATGAAAATGTAACTTGAATCGCTTTACAAGGTCGTATGCAGAAATTTGATTAGGGGATTGTCCCAGTGACTCGCGATGGACACACCCRAGATGCGCTCCTAATATCATGTAATGTGCAAAGAATTGAAAATTGATACTTTAAGAAAGGAAAAGTTATGATAAAACTAAACGCAATTATTTATTTCGTGTAGGATTGCGGAGCCGAGCGAGTGATGAGAGACTTACGGATCTTCAGAATTTTTGAGGGAACAAATGATATATTAAGACTATTTACATCGCTTACTGGACTTCAGGTATGGTACTWTCTTTATGTAACCTCATAGAAACACGTTACTAAAACAGATCTTGCACATCAGRTGGACGGTCTCTCTCTAGGTAGAAAATCTCGAGATGTCCCGGCTCTTTTTCATAGACCCTTAGACAACGACTTTTGATTTTTTTTAAATTCTTTAAACGAATAATCAGTTATGGAACGAGTAATCATTCGCATAGTCGCAATTTTAGGGCGCTGGTGAACACTTGAAGGCTTTACAGAAGAAGTTAATGAACCCAGCCAACTTCAATATGCTATTTGCTGAAGGAGCCAAAAGATCAAAACGGTGAGAGAATTTTTTTATTCAATTTGATCATACATTACATGATTTTAACTAGTGTTAGCTGCATTGAGAGTATAGTAGAGTATAGTAAATTTGTCCAGTAGTAAAACTATGTATGCCTTCTTTCAATATAGATTGGTTGGCATAAAGTCTGGYCCATCTCTCAGTGAACACGTTCATGCGGACTTACAACCGTCAGCTCAAAAGGTAACATCAATAAATAGAATGTAAACTTTTCATATATAACGTTGTAATTAATACGACGCCTATGTAGATGTGGTCTCCTTCACAGCCCAGAGCAGGGACAAGAATCCCTACAAAAAGGCTGTGGAGGAGACAAATGTAGATAAATATTCGTCAGATATTTATAATGATTTACCCAGCAACATTTCGTTTTTAGTTTAAGGGCGCATTTTTTTCGTGGCCATCATTCTAGAATGGAAATAGAATAGAATGGATGATTTAATACGCAATCATTTAGCATCACAGTCATTTACTTAATCCTGAGTGGCTGGAAAATCGCGCAATGCGTAATTTTAAAAGATCGTAGTTACAAAAGCGCCTGCCTTCAAACTTAGTATCACAGGCGGTAGGAAACAGTATGTAAATTGTTAATTCATTTTGTAAAACCATTTACAAATATCTAAATTTCATTTTTTTTTTTTGCAAACTTATCATATTTAGGGTTTATGGACTTCAAATTTTAATCAATCTAACTATGTCAAGAAAAGTAAATAAATGAAAGAAAAAGTTAATATCGCCCAACGTGGGGCTCGAACCCACGACCCTGAGATTAAGAGTCTCATGCTCTACCGACTGAGCTAGCCGGGCAACTGGTCTWCAAAGTTTATAACGCTCACYAAATATTTTATGGGATCGACTTTATGAGGAACCTGTTCTTTTTTAAAGGTGTCCGAATCAATTGGCGAATTTGGAGCCACAGTAGAGCGTCTMCTTATAAAGCACGGGAAAGGCATTTTGGGTAAGAGAATAATTTGATTGACATATGGCTGATGACATTGCGGCCGGCTTATTTCAGTCTTTACATGTTTAGAGAAACAGTTCTTGTTAAAAAGACTTGCTGATGCAACGATGGATTTATACGGCATGGTAGCAGTATTATCAAGGTATGCACGTCCAAGTACATGGCATGACGGAMCGTACCTAAAAAACGATTTCTTTTTCAGAGCGTCAAGATCATTACAAAATAATCTAGTATCGGCTCAACACGAGAGTTTACTTTGCACAACATTCTGTGATGAGGTTAGTCATCATCATTCCAAGCCCTCTTGCGATAGGATGTTTTTGTGGTCAGTAATGGTGAATTTATTTCAACAGGCATACGATAAAGTATTAAGGAATCTACGGTCGCTCAGCGATTCAGGACGAATCAGTATCGACGATAGAATGTCTAGAATATCCAGTGAAGTCGTACAAAATCAACAAACCGTTCCTGTGCACCCTCTTGGTTTTTGAATATCGACTGCCGAGAATTTCTGTTCTCTGAATGATCAATTTCTGCAATTCTGTTTTTGAATTTCTGGAATTTGGTGTAAATTATTCTTCCAATAATATTTTAAGCGTGGACGCTGGAGTATAATGCAATTTTGTGAAATAAACAAACAGTAACACTTGAGTTTTAAAATATATATTTATATATTTACAAGCTAAGGATACAAAATCTCATCAAAATTAGATTTAATATGAACAAATATATTAACAAAAATATATAKCAGAGCTGCGCGAGCTTTTGTAGTTTTATCTTGAGCCGTGATTGGTTGATGAAGAATCAGATGTTTCCCTTCAGGCCGATACACTGCCGATCCTGGCCTTCTTTAACGAACATGCTTTCCATCTACTTCCAGTTATGTAAGTGATGAACTGTTATACTCTTTTCTAGAATTACACAGAAGAGAGTTTCAAATAGACTTTGTGATTATTAGAATATAATATAATTTTACTTTACCTTTCCTGGTTTGCCTTTCTTTTTCTTTCCTTTCTTCTTCATTCCAGCTCCTAGTTTCATGATAGTCGAGAATGTGCCGCCATTCATGCGATGTGTGACGCTGATCTTTATGGAGTTAAGTCCCGCTGAAAAATGTGAACCGGAAAAATATGATGATAATGTACTTCTGTCTTAGTCAATTGACTCGAGTGGTAGTAACTGGGTGAACTGGCACGAACAGTTGGTATCACACTCTCTTATTTTCTGTTGTTCTTTACCAAAAAAATCCTGACCAAAGTGATTTTCAATGCACGGYTAAATTATAGCGACTATATACCATGAAGTCCGGTCTGATTAAAATTGTCACTGGTTTAATAAGACGCTGAAGAAGTGCGATAAATTAACCATAAGGTATAATAAAATTGCATCAAATGTTYCAAAAAAACTACTTACGTCTTTCAAGACCGTGAAAGTTGTCGGCTAAAAACCCGTGCTACAATGATAAAAAACGACAAAACTGCATACCCTTCAGCGGTTTTTATTGCTTTTTGTTGTAATTTTCATCCGTGTAATTCRGTTTCTATACCTTCCTTGCGGTCGAGCAAAGCTTCCATAATCTCTCTACCACCAAGATCACCAATGAGATTGTCATCCAGGTCAATCTCCTGAAGTCCGTCAGAGTGGGTTATCAACCTTTAAATAAGTGAATCTTATTTATTACAGCAATGTTCAAAAGAATGAATCGTTCCACAACTTACGTTCTAAACATCTTCATGCACATGATGGGTCCCAGTGTCGACGCACTGCCATAACCATCGATGCCATTGTCCAATAGATGGAGTTTCTTTATCCACGGACCTACGGGGGGTGGTGCTGGGGGTTCTTTTTTTTTCTTCCCACTTTTCTTTTTCTTTCCCTTTTTGCCTTTCTTACCGGTACCAGATCGTGCTGATTTCGGACTTTAGAAGGAAAAATCAGTTGTATATTACATAATCGATMGAAATTAAAGGAATTTTATGTGATCTACCTGGCACTTCCTGGCTTAGTGGTTTTAACAGACACACCAGATGTAGGTCTTGAGATCGAAGCCATCGCTGAACTAACTGGYAAACCAAGTGTATTTTGATTTTGTACTTCGGGAAGTTCTTCCAGTGCCTGTTTCTTTTCTATAGCCTCCATCTCTGCCTTGTCAGCAAAGAGCGTAAGCAATTCAATAACACCATCACACCCCAGTTTGTTACCATCGAGATAAAGGTCGCTATTACACAAAGAACATGAATGAATTGATGGATGGGAAAATGAATGACTATCTGGACTAGTAAAAGGATGAATATTGGGATAAATGGAAGGATGAATGAATGGGATGAATGAGTATGCRAAGAGAGAATGATTGAATGAATGGAGGGATTGATAAATGAATGTTCCAATTATTGGATGGGTGTAATTTGATCGTTTCTGAGAGTGTTTATACCTTATTGCAGAATTAGATACTGTATCTCCAAGAATCTTCCCACTCAGTGGTCCAAGGTCACAATAGTTCAAGCTAAGCTTCAGTAGAGTTCCATTCGCTCTGAGTCCTTTACAAAGTCCAACACAACCTTCATCTCCAAACCTGATCAAAAACGAAAGTAATGTGAACACCATATTGATTAAAGATATCAGTGTAAATTGTGGGATATTGGCTGCGTTAGAGGATTAAAGAGAAAGTAAAGCTGGCCTGGTGGCTGTAAATTTTGCTACATCACAACATGGATACTGGTTTGCAAAGAGAAGCCAGTGGTCTCAAGTACCACTACAAGCGAACATTTTACATACCAGATACACATAGGAGTTAATTGCAGAGCACAGGAAAGGGAAATTACAGTTCAAGACTGAATAGACTGGAAAAATCCTCAAAGCAAGGGAGAGAATGAAAGAAATTCAAATATWACATGTGTTCCTGTACTTACTGGTTAAAATCCAACACCAGTGCTGTCAAATTGCTCATTCTAAAACATCTGAATATAAAAGTCATTAAATATCTTATACATTGATTTCAATCATACTGTGCTGTGCGTTACAATATTATTTTTAAATACAATGGAATGATTTTTAATGATGGAGCATCATTGTTAATGATAAGATCATGAACATAAATCTTATCCATCACATTAAARTGGGAGTGTAAGCAAAAAAGATAAAAGATGGTTTAAATAGGTTCCTACCTACTGAATCTTTCAATAGCATAGCTATTTATAGAACAGTCCATAAGCTCTAAGTAATTTACTGGGTACATTGGTTGGTCAAGAAAGATGGCCAGTGAGGCAACATCCTCATGGGCCAGAGGAACATCCCATATATACAGTTCCTTGACATAAACATAACGAGTGCTTCGAAGGGCTGCAAGAAGTGGTGGGACTTTAACTGGTAACTCCTCAGGGGGTCCTTTAGTTAATATAAACTGGAATAAAAGAGATACATACTTGACATCATGGTTTACCAAAATGATACATGCAAGCCCCCTGGGTCTGTGGGCATGCTAAGCATCCATAAGAGTTTTCATATATCACAAACCTTTGCCAAAAGAGTGTTGTCCTCTCCATACTGGTTGAGAAGTTTTTTGACATCAGGATGCGCATAGCTTTTAGCTTCTTTGCATTTGAGTTCGTATTGCAGTCGAACAGATTTCAGAAGCTCAGCAATACTAAGTAAACCCTTCAGTCCTTTYTTTTCTTTCTTCTTTTTACCTCCTTTCTTCTTCCCTCCTTTTTTCTTGGCTGGCATTGTTGAACATCTGATTATAGCTAAGGTGAAATAAAAGGTTAGCTGGAGTATTTCTTGGCTCTGATGTCCTGATCATGCATGTGTTAGCTTGTTTACGGTTAAGTTGAACGTAAGGAAACRATTAATTTTAACTGATTTATAATAGATACAAATTTAATACTGTAAAGTTATATAATGTAACAATTCTTCTTATACCTAAAGTCTGCAATGGAACAGCGTCGAACTCCAAGAAACCATTTCAATGTTCAGCGTAAAGCTCTGTCTCGCTCGAGTTTCCGTCCAGATATTCAATAAGCAATTTTGCACCTACGAAAAACTTATATATGTAATCATAAAAACAATTAGTTCATATAAAACCAGATAAATTCTGGCATATAAAAGTATTTCGAAAAACCTTGGCAACTATAAAAGACYCCTATTGTAAACAATCCTTTGCTAGACCCAGGTAGCTCGCATTTACTCAAACCGAGCTCTCGAAAGCCTGGTTCGAGAATGACAACACAACAAAGATGGCGGCGTCCTCATCAAAACAAAAAGACTCAAAACAGAATCTTCTCTTAGGAATCAAATCTACAGTTAATGTATTACTTGCCAGTCGCAATGCTAATGTTTGGTCCACTTATGGAGGTTTAACTAGAATTGTCGGGGATCTAGAAAATATATTTCGTCATGAACTCAAGTCTTGTAAGGTAATACGTAAGCTTTTAGCTCAACCCTGTCACAGCATTTAATTTATGGAAAATCTAGCGAGTCTAGAAAATATTAATGTTATGTATACGTACAAATAATAAGCTAAATGATTCTTCATGGGATATTGAAAGTTAATCAAGGTTATGACTCCGTGTATTTCCACTGTAACTTTCACATTGATGATCTTCATGCGTAAGAATATTATTATAGGAGGGGTCAACAGTGATCAATGTACAATTATAAAAACTAATATCTAGACAAACATTAGTTGCATATTTAACTGTATTTGAAGTACGTCATGAAAGAGGTCCGTTGMGCTATCTTCATTATGAGTATGATCATTTGATTTCAGGATTTCTTTGGTGATCTCAATGATTATGACATCGTGTTAAAGAATGCAGGCTATCTTGGAGTGAAATATACAGGCAAAACATGGTTAAAAGACACTTTAGCTCAACATACCTTAGTATTACAATTAACACATATGATACAAAATGTAACTCTCATGAACCAGTATTATACAGGTATGAAAAGTCAAAGTGATGATTATGATGAGAATGTGATGCCATAAAATAATATCATTATGATGATATTATGATGTCATGATGAGAATGTGATGTCATGATGATATTGTGATGTCATGATGATATTATGATGTCATGATGAGAATGTGATGTCATGATGATATTGTGATGTCATGATGATATTATGATGTCATGATGATAATGTGATGTCATGATATTGTGATGTCATGATGATATTGTGATGTCATGATATTGTGATGTCATGATGATATTGTGATGTCATGAT